CAGACAGATGGCAGGAGAGGAAGGGTGCGTGGGCTGTTGGAAGAGAGAAGTGAAACGCAGGCTGGAAGCGGTCACTCGGGCCCCCCTCCAAGTCCAAGGGCGTCCCGTCGCCGTGGACTTTGCTCGCGCCCCCCTTCGTCCTGAGTCGACAGCCCTTGGCGCCTGCTTGGTCGAGCGGAAGTGATTACGCAGCTCGTCTTTTGTCGAGGCGAGGTGCTGCGCCTGCCGGGCCTGCCGGTACGGGCGGCACGCGGAGCCCCCACTCACCGCGGCCAGCTTGTCGAAGCGCGCGAACAGGTCGTTGAGCACCCGCACCAGCTCTTGGGCGCTGCACTGGCTGGCCAGGGCTGCGGGGCAGAAACACAGTGAGAGGCTGATCACGGGGACGCACCACAACAGTGCAGAGAGGTAGAGAGAGAAAGAGGGACCCACCAGTGAAGCCCTTGATGTCTGCGAAGAGGATGGACACGTCCTCGTAGCAGTGGATGTAGATCTTGTGGAACTGGTGCGGCACGAAGGCGCCCTTCTCCTCCTCGTTCGCAATGTCCTGGATCATTTCCTTGGCCACGAAGTCCGGCAGCACTGCGAGTAGCAAACGCCAGAAAATGAAAGAACGCGGCTTGTGGACACGGGTAGGCCCCGGGGCTTTTTCAGCTACCAGCTGGGATCACAAGCTGGTATTCCCACCCGTTTCTTTTCTACTACTTAGCAAGATACACATTCAACGAAATGGTAGGGTTGACTTTTTTCTTTTTGTCGCATGACAGTAAGAAGAAGTAAATTAATGAGAACACCGAAGTATAAATCAAATAGTTTTGGGGACGCACATACTCAATGCAATGCCAAACAACAGTTTCGTAAAAATAAATTTCTAAACATAACTAATACAATATCATATTTTATCAAATTTGCAATTGATGGCCACTCTGTTCGACCCTCAAGTTAAATGGACTCACCGGAGAGTAGAAGCTTCTCTTGTCTGTCGTTTTCCTTCTGCGTCCGGAAGCGCGTCTCCATGGACCGGTGCGTCTCGAGGAAGGCCCTGCGCTGGCCGCGGTCCGTCAGGTACCTCGTGTACATGCCCGCGAAGTTGACCGCCACGTAGAGCAGCCCGTTGGAGATGAGCTCCTTGGTGGCGATGTGTCTCTGCAACCGGCAAAAGGGGCGACAGCCGTCAACCTCCCTTACTTTTCGCACCAAAGAGATAGATGGACTTGGCGCCGTTGCGCAGCGAGTTTGGACGGGGGAAAAAAGGAGAGCAGAAGAGAAGGTGATCCAGCAAAACCCAGCGGGTAGGAGGAGGGGGTGGGGGGTAGGTCCTCTG